TATATATATATATATATATTTATATATATTTATATAGATTTATATATACTAACGCCCACGGATCCGAGATAGAAAGAGGCAGAAGGGGTGCGTTGAGAGAGTGACGACTTCCGCGATTCAACGTGAAAAACGTACGGAAGGGGATGGGGAGAAACTCGCAGGAGCGACGCTCGTTTTTGATTCTTCAATCCGTCGACTCGTGCAGCTTTACCTTTGCACTGTGTTTATCACGTCCTTTATCGTGTTCTGCACGTCACACAAGAGTCTCGTGTTCTCGATGATGTTGCGCGTGCCGGCGGCTCGCAGCTGCCTCGCCTGCAGCTCGAGCCGCGTGAGCAGATCGCGAAACTGGAACCTCGCGTGCGGCGCGATTGCCGTGTCCGTCAGGTTGACACACATACCGTGCAACAAGCCGACCTTGTCGGACAGCTGCAGCCAGCTAGCCATGACGATGGTGGGACTGCCCTTCAGATTCAGAATACTGTTCTCTATGACGTTCGAGATTTCCATCACATTGTGCTTGGCCGCTTTCGATTCGCCGCCACCGCCAGTCTGCTTATTGCCATCGTCGTCGCTCTGTGACGGCGGCTTGTTGCAGTTCGGCGTTGCGTAAATCGAAGAACCGAAGTGCTTGCTGGAGGGTCCGAGTGGCTTCAGCGGTTTCGCCGGCACGATGGGCTTCTCCACTTCCGTGGTTGCCGATGAAGTCGGGGGCCATACTCGCGAATCACCCTTGCTGGTTGAGCTCCTCGTCGACGCGTTACTGTGATCCTCCGGCGAATCCTCGCTCGCGGCATCGCCGGCGTCCTGCTTGCCACTCGTCCCTCTCACGTTTAATTTAGGACTAAGCGGTTGGTTATCACAAGAAGCCTCTTTGTTCTCCCACAATTTCTTTAGGCTGCTAATACTGCCGGTGCTACGGCGCTTGTCGTCGTTAGCGTCGTCCACGCCGGACGACGAGTCCGCCGAGTCCGCGACGTTGCTCCCCGCGCTGTCGTCGAAACGCGTTGATTTGTCCGCCGCGGCTCTCTCCTTGTCGACGTTGTCCACTTTTCGTAACCGGGCCTTGAAATCGATTATCTGACCACCGTCTGGATTCTCCTCCTTCTGCGGGTTGCTCCTCTTATCCACCTTCTTCAATTTGAAACCTACACTAGCGGCGCTCAGTATGTGGCCCTCCGTGATCGGCGAGGTCATCGGCATCTCTTTGTGACCGCTGCTTTTCTCGAGAAACACGCTCTGCGTACTCGTGTGAATGTGTTCCTGAACGCCGGACACATCGTTGCTCTTCAATGTTGAGATTGCGTACTCACTCGAGACGACGTGCTGCTTGCTGGCGGAGTCTATACTGAAACTGGCGCACAACTCGAACAAAAGTTGCGACGCCGGATCGAGCGGCGCCGCAGACGAAGACGCGCTGTTACTAGCGGTATTACCGGTCTTCTTCACGACACTGTGTTTCAAATCCGCACTCTGCTTAATCTCATTGATCAGTTTAAGCTCCAGCATTTCCTTCATACCGGGTTTAGACTCGAGA